TTTTGGACCCCTCGATTTGCCTGTGCGCCGCATGGCATGCAAGCTGCGCAGTGCGGCGCATGTGCGCGCTGCAGCGCATGCCGATGCGCCGCATGTATGGTAAGAACAGATCTGAGATCTGGTCAGGACCAGATCTAAGACTTGATCTCAGATCTGACCAATATCCTCTCTCTCTCTCTCTCTCTAGCTTTATGTTCTGTGGCGCTTTGCAGCCAGCGCTTCATTTTCGGAATCGGACTCAGCAGAGGGAGCTGTTGGAGGTGTCTGGCGGCGTCCGGTAGGCCCTAAAACGGCCAAAAAATACCGGGGCCATTTTTTGGGGGCAGCCTAGGACCCGAAAAACGTCCTAGGACCCCCCAAAAAAAATTTCGATTTTTTCAAAATTGGGCCCAATCCAGAGTCCAGACCTACCGGACCAGACACCGGGCCCATACCCAGACAACCGGATCGTCTGGATTCCAGTCCAGACGTCCGGCCGGTTGCCATGGAGTGTACACTGCTCGTTGAGATTTCACTTGCACTGCATTGTCCATTCAGTCCTTTTCATCACATTGCGGATCCTTGTACATCTCCCAACTGGGCATGTAACAGTTGGTATCGGAGTACCGCACGCGAATCAGGACAACCTGATCTGACACGTGTGCAGGGACTAGGTAGCTGATTAGTTTTGATTGATTGATTAGAGCACACTAGTTAGCCCCCAAAATCACGATTTTGACCTCACTGCCGAAAATCGAAAATTTTTTCTTTTCTTGGATTTTGTTTTCTCACTATTTCTGTTCTGGAAAATCGCAATAGCGCAACATCTGAAATTTCCGATTTCGTTTTTCTTCTGAAAATTCAAAATTTCGTTGTTGAAAGTCCGGAATATCTTCTTTTTCAAAAATTTCAATTTCCTTTCGCAATTTCCCGTTATTTGAAAATCCGGAATATTTTTATTCCGAAATCCGTTTTTTTTTTTTTAAATGGACGGGAATCCCTCTTGCAGTTATCATTCTCCAACTGCGCATACTCTCATCTGAGTAATTCCGAAAAAAAATTTGTACTTCATTTTCGGAATTCTTTTATCAGAAAATCATCTGCGGTCCGAAAGTTTGAAATTTTTCTCATGGATAATTTCGCACTTCAGGGGACTTGGGAGGCCTACTGAATTTGCAAACGAGTTTTTTTTTTTTTTCCTCGAATTTTTTTGCAAAGTTTCAAACTTTTCTTTTTTGATTAGTGGCTCCTTATCTGGGCGATTTATCCCACCCCTCCCCACCTATGTTGTTGCCCCCTCTGGTCTTCTCTATCTCCCTCCGCGTACCCCCTGCGGCGGCATTGGTGAGTTGCCACGTCAGCAGGACACGGCAGCAGTGCCACGTCAGCAACCAGTCACCGCAGCAGCAGGTCACGTCAGTGCATGGTGCTCACCCGCTCAAAGACGAGCGGCATGGATCAGCAGCCAGGCGAGACTACCGAGGCCTATGAGGCCCGCGTGCTGGACATGGTAGCAGAATTCAAGCCACGGGCAGCTGCGGCAACATCCGCACGTAAGAAGGAAGATGAGGAAGCAGAGGAACAGCGTCGCCTCGCTGAACAGCAGAGACAGGCGGACGCTGAGGCAGCAAGGAAGGCCGCAGACGAACGCCGTCGACTACGCCGAGACAAACTCCTCGAATGCGAGGGGGATATCGAGGTGATCGCCCGCGAATGGGCGGTGGCTGCTGAAGAGGAAGGTGCCCCCTCTGCTGTGCGTGGCCTTGCAACCACAGTCGAACATGTAAGCGACTTGGTCGCCACCTGTGCAGCACAGCAAGAGGACATCCTCTGCGTGGACACCCTGGTCCGGAAGCAGATTCGAATTATTAATGAACTGCTTGACTGGGTACGCCGGCTGGAACAGCAACTTGCAACAGCCACCCCCGTCGGACCCTCCAACTTGACGGACCGCGTCAACGTCTTGGAAATCGACGTCGAGACGCTCAAGGACGGCACTCTAGCGACAAATCAGCGGATTGACCAGCAGATTTGTGCCGCCGCAGCCAGTCCGACCGCGACTACTCACGAGAGCATCCCAAAGTTTGATGGACTGCCGATCTTCTGCGATGCAACGAAGACAGACCCGATCCCATGGTGGTGGCAGTTCGAGTTGAAGTTGGACATTCACCACGTCATCAACCCGAGCCAGCACGCATACTTATACTCCCGCTCAGGGGGCGCGTGCTAGGTACGGCTGGACAACATGTTGTCCACGCACAACGTCACAGTCTTCGGGCTGCATATGAAGATCAGCGGGGCTAATCTCAAGGCAGCATGGCATAAGCGATTTGTAGCTATCAAGCACTTCTTCATCAGGAGGAGCTGCCCGACGTTGCAGAACGCCATTACGCAAGTTGCAGAGATGCTCACCACAAGTGAGCAGCTTTTTGATACAGCCTCGCAGATCATCGTGATAAACATCGAAGCCAAGAATTTGGGCCATTCGTCTGCTGCAGGCCAGGGCAGAGGACAGCATCGGCCCAAAGCGTCCGTGGTCGCAGCAACTGCAACGACCAACACTTCAAACGAGGCTGCCTCTTCTGAGGAAGGAGACAGATTTGCAGCCGCCCGGGATGGTGGCCACCCCGCCAGAGGGCGAGGACGTGGCAAACCGAAGACGCACACCAATTCAGCCCCCGGGGCCGGACCAGCGGCTCAAGAGCCTTGGACACATTACGGTATCCCGAAAGGCGTGTACCACATCCGTACTAAGTGCCGATACTGCTTGTGGTGCAACAGCGCGGTGCACGATACCGCAATGTGCCCCACGCCAGTCAAAGGCAAATTTCCTTTGGGAAAGTGAGCACCGCCGAGAGTGATGCGGTTGCACTCTCGACGCCTTCGGAATCGGTTGCTTCGCGAGCGACCTCTCTTCATTCCAAAGCACATGCGGAAGTCGACAGTCCTCTCTTGTATTCTTATGAGGACTATGGTGCCCGACTCGTTCATTCGCTGGGTTCTCAAGCTCAAGGACGAGATGTGTGTGCGGCTTCTCCGTCCGGCAACAACAACAACCGATCGTCTTCAAATGGTGATCACGGGATTCGACGCACGAGTTCAACAATGGATCATCTTCAAGTGGTCCTTCAAGGGATTCGACGCACGAGTTCAACATAGAGGTCTTGGACCCGTTGACGTCCGAGGATTTTGCATGGCTTCCTCTCCCTCCCACAGGCTGTTTGCCAGGACCGCAATGCGCAGCACTATGCGCCCATCTCCACACATACTTAGCCTTCTATGCACCACCATCTTCGCCGGCAGATGACGAAGCTGCGGTGGGGGACATCCTTGCGTATGTTACCAAGGTGGCCCCCGAGTTTCGCATGTAGTGGTACGATGATAACAACACACCGCTCCTTTATGTCCGCATCCAAGTTGGGCAAGCGTCCTGCACCATTTTGGTGGATAGCGGCACAACTCGCAATTTCATCAGCCAGTCCTTTATCCAAAGGGCCGGCCTTGGCGCTCAAGTTCGAAGGAAGCCAAACCCGACGGCGATCAAGTTGGCGGATGGTCGGACGCAACAACTCCTCGATCGCTACATTGAAGCTGTGCCGGTTTATTTCGCACCTCATGCATGCAAACCGGTGACGTTTGACATCTTAGACATGAACTTCGACATTATTTTGGGGATGCCTTGGCTTGGAAGTGCGGATCACACGGTTAACTTCCATCAGCGGACACTTACCGTTCGCGACGCTTCGGCGCCGAGGTGTCGTGTACCATTCCTCCTCCGCACTCCTCCATCCGATGCCACGTTGTAACGGCCAAGTCTTTTCGGGCCACTTGCGCTTACGAGCGGACCGACGAGATAGGCCTATGTTTTCTACGAGCCGCCGTGACGACCGAATCTTCACCTACGGACTTGTCTTCGGACCCCCAAGTGGTGCGGCTGCTCGACGAGCTCACCGATATCTTCTAGTCTCCTACCGGTGTGGTGCCGGATCGGCCGATCTCCCACGAGATCATTCTTGAGGCCGGTGTCGTGCCGCCGAAAGGATGCATCTATCGCATGAGCGAGGAAGAGCTCGCAGTTTTCCACGCTCAACTCAACGATCTTTTGGACGAGGGCTGGATCCGCCCTGGTAGCTCACCATACGGTGAGCCAGTTCTCTTCGTACGGAAGAAGAACAAGGATCTTCGCTTGTGGATCGACTACCGCAAGCTCAACGCACAAACCGTCAAGAATGCAGGACCTCTTCCGCGGATTGGCGACCTTCTCAAGCGTTTGGGCGGCGCAAAAATCTTCTCAAAGTTGGACTTGAAGTCGGGCTACCATCAAATCTCGATACGCCTGCAAGATTGCTACAAATCCGCGTTCAAAACTCGGTACGGGCATTTTGAGTGGATCGTTATGCCTTTTGGCCTGACCAATGCCCCGACGACCTTTCAAGCGGCAATGACCAACAAGTTCCGTGCGATGCTGGACCGATTCGTACTAGTCTACTTAGACGACATTCTCGTCTATAGCCGGACATTGAAGGATCATCTTGAGCACCTTCGACGAGTGTTGGAGACACTCCGCCGCGCCAAGTACAAAGCCAACCGTGACAAGTGCGAATTTGTCCGGCTTGAGCACCTTCGACAAGTGTTGGAGACGGTCCGCCGCGCCAAGTACAAAGCCAGCGGAACTTGTTGGAGACGCTCCGCTGTGCACTCGATTGACGACGCACGGAAGAAGGAATTATTGGCCTTCATACACGCGCTCAAGCGCTGGCGACATTTTCTTCTCGGTCGACGGCAGTTCCGATGGGTAACGGATAACAATCCCTTGGTTTTCTACAAGACCCAAGACACGGTCAATAGCACCATTGCCCGTTGGATGGCCTTCATCGACCAGTTTGACTTTTTCCCCGACCACATTCTGGGCAAGTCAAACCGTTTTGCAGATGCTCTTTCATGGTGTCCGGACCATTGTACCGTAGTCTACTCAACTTTTGAGATTAACGACGACTTGTGGGACAGCTTCATCCGCGGCTACCAAGTCGACCCCGAGTTTTGCGACAAGTACTCAAATTGTGCCTCTCCTAATCCGGCGCCATCGCACTATCGGATCCAAGAGGGGTACTTGCTCGTCCACTCGCGAGGGAAGGATCTTCTTTGTGTGCCACAAGATTTACACTTGCGCACACAGCTTCTTGGCGAGTTCCATGACGATCCCGCCACCGGACACTTTGGAGTCAATCGTACGATTGGACGACTCCGCGAGCGCTTTTGGTGGCCTGGTCTTGGATCCTCTTTGTGTGCCTCGAGATTTGCACTTGCGCACACAGCTTCTTGGCGAGTTCCACGACGATCCCGCCACCGGACACTTTGGAGTCGATCGTACGATTGGACGACTCCGCGACCGCTTTTGGTGGCCTGGTCTTCTCGACGACGTCACACGCTATTGTGAGTCATGCGAGGTTTGCCACGTTGCAAATCCCGCAATCGTTTTGCGACCGTTACTGGTCCCCTTGCGGCGAAGGGAAGCGATTGCCATGGACATTACCGGCCCGTTCCCCAAGCACAAGATCGGAGTGGATGGGATTCTCATGGTGGTCGACCGACTCACCAAGTTCGCCATGTTTTTGCCTTGCCGCTATCATGCCAAGGCACCGGAGTTGGCCTTACGCTGGTTGGATTCGAACCAAGGGTTACCCCAAGGAAATCGTCTGCGACCGCGACACTCGGTTCATGTCCGATTTTTGGTTGGCGCTCATCAAACGATGGGGCTCATCTCTCAAGCCAAGTTCGGTCCGCCACCCCCAAACCGATGGCCAAACGAAGAGGGTGCATCAGACCACACAGGTTCTCCTTCACACTCTCATTCGTCCCGACCAAAAGGATTGGGTTGAGCGGCTGCCGGATGTCGAGTTGGCATACAACTCGTCCATCCACCCGGCTATCGGGATGTCACCCTTCGAGTTCGAGCACGGCTCGCCGGTCACTTCTCCGTTGGACACGATCATTCCACGAACGACCGAGAGCGACGACCATCTTATTTTCTTGCGATGGATGCAAGAGCTACTTGTCCAGGCACGCGACCAGATGGCCAAGACGCAGCGACGCATGAGCCAACAGGCCAATCGCCAGCATCTTCCTTGCCCATTCCGCGTCGACGATCTCGTTTGGGTTTCCACCGCGGAATTCAGCCTTGAACAAGATATCTCTTGCAAGCTCCTCCCGAAATGGATGGGGCCTTGGCCGATCGTGGCACCCGTCGCGGATGCACCCGAAGGACCTTCCTTCACCATTCAGGTGCCCGCCCACTTGCCCGTCTACCCGGTCTTTCATTGCTCCAAGTTGGCTCTCTACACGCCAGCGAAACATGACGATTTTCCCGGACGATGATCGCAAGACCCACCCTCTATGAACGACTTTCAAGAGGTCGACAACATCATCTCCCAGCGACGCTACGGCAACAGGCCAACCAGGTACTTGGTACACTTTGCGTACTGCAGTCACCGAGTTGACCGTTGGTTAACCCGTGCGGAACTCCAAGCAACAACTTCGGATGTTCTCGCACGCTACGAACGCAAGATGCAAGGCAAGCCGGTATCTTCGGCTCCACGTCGCACCCACCACCTTCAGATCGTCAGCTTCTCCCTCGCCCCGGCTTGACTTCATAAGGAGGGGGGCTGTTACACGCTGCGCCTGCAACAGGTTGCACCGGCCATTTCCAGGCCCGTGACGTTTTCAGGCCAAAAGCCTGAAAACAAGCGCCTACAGGCCCTATGTCGTTTCAGCCTGAAATCCTGAAAACAAGGGCCTACAAGCCCTGTGTCGTTTCAGCCTGAAAGCCTGCCCTGTGTCGTTTCAGGCTAAATCAGGGCCTTTCCGGCCCTGAGAGTTTTCAGCCTGAAACTGAGGGCCATTTCCGGCCCCTCATCAGTTCGGCCTGCCCCGAAACTCGGGCACCAGACCAGGGTTTTAGCTGAGGCCATTTCTGGCCTATTTTCAAGACAACTTTTGTATGAGCTTCAACCCCAGGGTCTGGCACGTTGAGGCATTGGCAAGAGCAGCCTCCCGGACGGGCCAGCACTATATAGGACTAGCCCGCCCTGCAGGCCGGTAAGTAGTTCCTAGGTACTTCCCAGGCACTTCACGTGCAGTTCAGGAGGCAGGAGGTAGTCTTCAGGATTCGGCATCAGCACTCTGGAGGAGCGCTGCAGTAGTAGTAGTACCGTTAGCAGTAGTCTTCAGCGCTGGGCGCTAGTAGCCTTAGCTGTAGTCTTCAGCGCTGGGCGCTGGTAGCCTTAGCTGTAGTCTTCAGCGCTGGGCGCCATAGCTAGAGTAGTACTATAGAGAGAGAGATTGGGCGGAGGCCAGAGGGACTTACCGGCAGCGCCATCGCTCCAGCTTCGTCTTCAAGGTACCTGCAACACAGCGCCACCTTCACAGGTTAGTACCTGGCATATGAGAGAGAGAGAGTTCTTCTTCTTCCTCTTCTCAGTCCACCATCTCCCTCTCACCCTCTCAATATCTGACTTCACTGCATCAGCAGACTATGTGTGTGTGTGTGTGTGTGTGTGAGAGAGAGAGAGAGAGAGAGAGA